AACTGTCATGTGTCTGCAATGGTTTTGGACACAACAATGATTCATACAGTTTGTTTATATACTTCTTCTCTGTAGCTGCAATTATCTCTCCAAATCTTGAGGCAGTGATCCGCCATTGTCTCTCCTTGTGTCAGATTGCGCTCTTTCCTTGTTATAACTTGCTTACTCAGTGTCCTTCGCTGTTTGTTCCTCAACCTGAAATATTCATATCCCATTAAAGCATGGTAGATGGTTACAGCATTAAATAGATACAATTTAGATTAGTTTAGATACAATATTATAATTCTATGATGTCACCTATCACCTAGTTTGATAATTCTTTCTCATATTTGGGCCCGATTCTTAATAGTAGACCTCTGTTTTCACTTACATCATTCCCTCTATCCATGCTTTATTCTTTTCATGGCACTTGGCAATAGTTGTTGTCCATCACAGCCGCCTGTAAGTCAGCTTTAGGGTAGGCATTACTGGTGGCTACATCAATCTTTGCCGCTGATGTGAAGTGATAGGTAAGATTCCTGAAGTAATCATTTTATCCTGCTCTTGAAGTTGGCTGTCCTGGGGTCCTGAAATCGACAGTTTCAGGCTTTGCCCCCGATATATGGGCCTTCTTTGGGTAACCTTATAAAGAAAATAAATAAGTACATTTACTAAGTATAAAAATCTTTCGTGCTACTAAAACAAAATATGAGCGTAGGCCTACTCGTACCTACAGTAGTCTACATGTACATGTACATAACATGTCAGATTTGACACACACACCTCGACTAATTTTTGATTTTTTCAAGGAAAATAGTTAGCATTCGTGTTTTTCAAGCACTAAATGAAAGAAAACACATACCTTCCAGTCAATTCACATTTTCATTCAGATGTTATGGCACCACATTCAAGTAAATTGCGTTTGAGTTGGTTCACTGTCAGCGACGCGTGCACACGCTCCATGTTAAACTCTGGTGTAAAGCCGTGAGCGAGATTCTGCGAGATTTTAGAAGGACTGCTTTCACCCCCACGGCAGACCCTTAAAGCGGGTATTCCCCATTGTGCAAGACATGATTTCTATAGAACCTACGCACAGCAACCAGTTAAAAAATGCCTGCAAATAAAATTTGACAGCTTTCATTTGTTGTCACACTGTAGTTGCTGGCAGATAGAGCTTTCTAGTTTGATTCCCATTTGCATTTCAAATTTTCATGAGGTGGCTGATTGCCATTTTGATAGATTTTCAATATAACGTAGAACAGCGTATATTGAACGTTTTAACACATCTGATTATAATTGGTCGCTATTTTTCAGTGTTTTTCTGCTGAAAGTTATGTTTGTCTGCAAGCATCATTCCACAGTGATGCATTTGACAATTTGTGATGATCAGGATGTTAGACACTCAATGGCAGGAATATGGATAAAATGCCATTTAACTTAATCGAAAGAACTTGCAACGCTGTCAAACATATTTTTCACTATACGGGCCATTAATGGTATTTAGCAAAGTAACTCCATTGATGTTTTATCATTGCGGATATCCAAATGCTGATCAAATTTTCTGTTAAGTGGGCTATCGTCAAATATTTGCCGAGTACAGTGTTTGCCACCAGTGCAGGGGATCGTGAGGTCATATTTTGGTGATTTGTGAGTGAAATTTATGTAGCGTTGGGTAAGACATTAACCCGTTTCAACCTGCTAGTTGGTCTCAATTTTCTACCCTTTGTTCAATAGCTTCTATCGTGATGGTACAACTGGGAGTGGTATTCTCCGCTATACAAACCCCAATTCTAAGACAATTCTTAACTTGTACTAATCATAAAGGGATCCCCGCACTTCTATTTCTTGGACTACCGTTCCTGGCACACAAATAACCTTTGTAAAGTTTAATGGCACTTACCAAATGATACTCCTTTTCCTTTGAACAGTGTCGTGCCGTGACAACGTTCTGGTATATTTTCTACTAACGTTAAAATATGATATATGTTCACATCACGTTTGCCGCCCATATCAGACCCGTAGCTTGGCAGCCTATGGAGCATATTTGGGGCAGGTCATTAATTCCAAATAGGTCTAATTCGCTATAAAGTCCATGGTGATTGGCAGTGCATATAGCCAGTGTTCACGGAATATGAATACATGGAAATACATTTCATTCCCATATCAAACCCGTAGCTAAGCCGCCTTTGGGACATATTTGGGGCAGGCCATTAATTCAGAATCTAACTAAAACTTCAGGTAAAGGTAGAACTGAGGATCGGCAAAACAAACAGCTTGTGTATGAATTATTATGAATAATGGTAATGTATGGATCATGAATTCATTTCGTTTTATATCACAAACACATATACCTTAGCACTTCTTTCACGTGTGAGATAAATTACTGTTCACGAGTGCTATGCCACAACGAGGTGCTCGAGGCATAGGCCTATATCGCGAGAGGCTGGTGGTTAATTATTTGATGTACATACCGAGAGAATACTCGCATTTCACCAAAAATGCTCTTTTGGCCGTGATATGTCTTTCATATAATATAAGTGGTGGAAGTGTTACCGGATATAGTATGGTTTGGCGTGGTTTTACCTTTCACCACCCCTCTCCTTCTTCAGTATTCAAGCGGGTCATACCGATACGGGCAAAAATAAAGAAGGTAACGCGCAATTACACATGCCATACCAACAAATTGGCAGCTTGTCTAATTAACTTGGTCAATTAACTTGCCGATTATGCTGTTAACAATGCAAATACACCATTAAGACTGGGCACAGCAAGGCCCTAATAGAGTGTTTTCCACGAAATCGTGAGCATGCGCAGTTCGCGCCATTTTGTGCAGGACTGTTTCTCAGGGGGCAAGAGTAGAAGGGGCCTTCATGGACAGCTGTCACGATGTAAAGTAGATCTCCCGCTCTTTGCATTTATCGGTAATGGGTGGTCATGACAACTGCTGTGTGTATAACTGCAGCCACCGGAGAGGTAGAAAAGACAATGTTTGTAGTTTTTTATTTATCTTTTTTTTTTTTTTTTTTTTTTGTATTTCCAAAGGACAGACGTTCGACATTGCTATGGATTAGTGCCGCTAGTCGTGCGAACATTTCATTGAAAGATATAACTGACAACTTCAAAGTCTGTGGCTGTCACTTCCAATCCGGGAAGCCAAACAGGAAAGATAGTATGTCTATTGATGCAGTACCATCAGCTGATTTACCAAAGTCACGCAAAACGGCTAAACAGTATTTCAAGTGCGACATGGGTCGAAGCGGCGGAGAGTAGGACTAGAAAAATTATACTGAAGAAGCTAATCACAGCAAATTTACTTTCTTTCATCGTTTTATTTAGAAAAGTAAAACTGCGTACAAAAATATTATCACAAAGACATATTTGATTTGTTCACTGCTGAGCTGTTGCATGTCCAGGTTTGCAAATAAATTACTGTACTAGTAAATGCACTGGCATCGTGCCATCTTCCAATTAAAATTGATCTAAAAAAGCTGCACATTAACACCCGAGTAAAATAAAACCAACCTACATGAGAAATGTTAATTTAAAGCACCATCACCTGAGACCAAGTTATAATTTAAAACATTACTATATCACAATGTAATTAAATATCCATTGCACTGCTAAATACATAAAATATATACAAATTGCACTTGAATCCTGCATCAACTGATCAATAAAATAAAAATCTAGTCTAAAAAGATGAAAGTTCACTCCTGAGAACCATTTCCATTCTACTGTATTCCAGTAAAACCTATATAATAGCACCATCTAATACAACCATATTTTAAAACCTTTACTTTATCACAGTGTTATTTAATATCTATATCCATGTTAAATACACAAAAGAAAAAATATTTTCAAAAAAAGGACTATTATCATGCAAGTATTATTACAGCATGAAAATAAAACACTAAAGATTTTCACAACCCAAGATCACAATGCAGAATAATATTGCACATATTCTCAGTTTGGTATTAAATGCATGTATAGAATAAAGCTTGAATTTTTTAATGAAAAAAAAAATGAAAAAGAAAAATGTTTAATAGTAGCGTACACCAACTCTGTCAAAATGAATGTCTTGTAAAAACTGGTCAGTTTAGGAACCACAGATGCCCAATGAACAGCATCAAACAGAACAGATTCAATGAAGAGATCCTACTCTGTGCACAAAACAAAATCATGCTCATGAATGTTGTACACAGCCATTTGACCCTGGACTTGAGTGAAGTAAGTATGTTTCTGATTCAAATATGGCCTGTTGTTTTCGTCTTGCTTTAAACATGACAGTTTTCTGGTGACGAAGAGTGGTCCACTAAAGCTGTTTTGTAGATTTTCTGCACATATCCATCTTGAAAATACCGATAAGCTTTCAGACTTTTGAATGCCCGCACAAATTTCTTGTCGTATGATCTATCCTTGAAGTCTATGAGATACGTTTTCAGTTCTTTCTTTGAAAAGTCATCAGGTACGTCTGTTAAATTTCTATTCCAAGTACTCGCATGAATGTGTTTTCCAAAAAATTCAGGTGTTATCATGTTACAAATCCTTGAAAATTCAGATCGAAACGAGCACTCGTCGATATGGCGTCCGTCGTGTACACTCCGCACTTGCCCCTTGAAACTTCAAATTCCGCAAAATCTCGTGTTATCACGGAAAATTTAGCGGAAGTCACGTGACCGTGGAAAACACTGTATTAGGATGGGGTCTGGGCCTCTTAGGCATATGACTAGATTAGGACTGGGCCTGTGACACATATTTATATGGCTAAGAGTTTGGTGATTGTGTTAACTCCTTTGACTTATGAAAACAAAACTGGAACTAATTGATCAAAAAGAAAGAAAATTATATGTGTCCCTACCAAGGAGACACTGAGATGAATGAAATATAATGTCCAAACAAATGGGAGTATCCCTAAACCTAAAAGTTATCACATATGCAAATGCACGTTGCATCAGATGTGCTGGATTCCACAACTCCTAAAGTACAATAAAAAGCAATATAAAGGTGACAATAATCCTGCCCTTGCACTGGATATAAAGAGACTTCTCGTAGACTTAGCAGTCGAAGTACTCAACTCCCCCCTCCTCCAAATAACACTTTTTACTGGGATTAGATGAAAGAATGATTTGGATTTTAAAAAGCCTTTAAAAAGGTATTATTAAAAATAATATGAAAAGAAAGAAATATTTGCTCTGCAGTGATAAATTTATTCAGAGAAATCTGATATGTAAGCATAAATAGCCAATTGGAGTAGATCTAGTACATTAGTACGTTAGTTCCACTGAAGTGGAAAGGACTCAGATATCCAAGCATGGAGTAGACAAAGCAAAATTGGCTTCACCGACACCGGTAAGTTTTCCAGGCAATGCGTACTTTATGATGTACTCATTGGCGTAGTTGACGACCTGTGCTGAGGGTGAGCTGATAGTCCCGTTGTCCCTGAGGACCTGCAACAAGGCAGCCACGGCGCCGGTTACAAACGAAGCTGCCATGGAGGTGCCACTCAATGTAGTAAATTGATTGTTTCCAGGGAAGTCAGCAACTTCGATAACTTCACCCGGGGCGTAAAGATCTACGCAAGGACCATCGTTGCTGAAAAAAGACTTTACAAAGCGCTCATTAAACGCTCCGACAGTGAGGGTATTGGGCGTGCTGGCTGGAGAGACATAGCAAGCGTCTTTATTGGAACTACCAGCTGCAACAATTGCGGGGATTCCAGCTGCGAGTAGATCATCGACTGCGTCGTTCATAGACCTGGAGAAAGTCCCATCAAAACTGAAGTTAATAACGGAGAGTCGCCCAGTGCTTTGCACTCTTTGTTTTGCCCACAGGCAAGCATCCATCATGTCGGAAACATAGCATACATCATTTGAACAAACCTTCAGGGAAATGATGTTAGCACGCTTTGCCAAACCACATTTGGTTCCCCCGATGATACTGGCCACTTGGGTACCATGACCATGGTTATCCACACTTGTAGATGTCGGCCAGCCTGGAGAAATAGAAGAACTGATAAAATTAATCAACCATTTTATGTGTTAAACCTAAAACTGATCAATGTAGAACTTCTTTAATATGATTTTACTACTAAGAAGCACCAAAGCGTTCATGGGTGTCCATAGGGGGTCACTTGACTCTCCCCCCCCCCTCTTTACTTTTAATGGGCATGTTAATTGCGGGTACCCATCCAAACATTATCTCCCCCTTCAATGACTTTGACCCCCCTGGAAAATTATCTGCGGACGCCCATGAAAGTGTCTTATTTCAGTTGAAAACTGACCAAAGGTACAAAATAGTCCCAAATATAACTCTCCCGTACTATAAAAAAACAGATATTTGAGATGAATAATGGCAGTTGTATTTAACTATATTTTATGAGCCTCTACCATATTGCAGAAGAAACGTACTCCCTCTTAATCCCCTTTTGCAAATCAGGTTTTGTTTTTGCTGCAACGCTGCAAGAAGACAATCAGAAAGCACCTCACCAATAGTAACTCTCCCTGTGAGATCTTCGTGGTTTGGATTGATGCCTGTGTCTGCCACATATACATCTATTTCTTTACCATCGCCCCAGATATTATACTTGCCATTGAGTGCATTACCATCAAGAGCATCCAGCCCCTGCAAGTAAAGGTTATACAAAATATGAAACACGCTTTATATATTGCCATGGCTGCAATCAACGAATTCTTACAAAAGGAATTTTCCAGATATGTATATTTCTTGCACAATCTTGCCAGAAAGTAAATGGAAAATGCCAAAGGAAAACCATGTTGAAAATTAATGAGGTTTAATCTAGAAAACCAGACCAACCAAACCACCCTTTAGATTTTTGAAAGGACATTATAAATCTTTTTGTTTGCTGAACAGTTTTGAGATAGAAATTTGCCACTGCACTCATCAAAAGCAAATTAAATGCACCCTTAACTTTATGTATTGCTCAGATGTATGGCAAAGAGTATAGGACTTTAACCTTATAAGTATGTTACCAATAGTCAAAACGATTCAAAGATTTAGAAAAGCTTGTTGACTTTGTGACGGAGAGTGAACTGCTTTTAGAAATCAGAATAATCAACATTCTACAAAGTTATTATAATTGAATTATATGAAACCGTTAAGTTATATAAGGTCGACCTTTCTGATCGGAAATCAACATTAACATACCCATTTATAACGTCCATTGCCATCATTGTACTCTTTGCAGTATTTGGCGGCTAGAAACAACTCGATGTCCTGTTCAATTTCAGCAATGGCATCGATGAGTTGACGCAAATCGTCGAGGTTGCTTAAAACATTGTTTAAAAAACTCATAAATACAGTCAAAAAGGTTTATGTACTTCCTCGGTGTTAGTAAAAACAAATATAGAATGATTAATTGATGACCAATACGTATTTTAATTATTTCCTCCTTAAAAACTTTGCTTTTTAGCCCAAAGTGTTATTTGATCGGTAGTTCATAGCGAAGATGATGATAAAATATTTTTATTTATAAAACAAATTTTTAGGAATGTGTAGAAACGGATTTAAAACACTGTCAAAATGCATCCAACCTTTTACTTATGTTTCGCAGAATGAGGAAATCCTTGTCTCTATTAAACTTAACTTGTTGTCTTCGTTCAGGTTCTTTGATGATTCTACGGACTAGATCAATAAAATTATGTTTCTTGTAAATGGTTAAAACAATAAATCCATTTAAAGCTACAATAGAGCAGAGATGGATCGGATCCTAAGCCCATATGAGAAAAAATACAAAGGCAAACAGAGAACTCAGACCTTCACCAGAACAAATGATAAACTAATAATTAACCATTAGTTAATAGAAAGACCATCTCCAAAATGTTGTCACTCTAAAGCTAGTCCATTTTTTACCTATCCTGATTATTTAATCAAAATCCGTCCTTTCATTTGTGAGTTAAGTTGCTAACACACAGACTACCAAACTAATGGAAGGAAAAACATAACCTCCTTGGTTCATAAGCAGGTCTTAAGCACAATTTGTCAGTTGGGAAAGAGACCCCCTGATAAGATTCGGAATGAAAGTGCCAAATACAGGTAATAGATCACAAAATGAACACTTTTATTTTACTGAACATTGTTTACGCAACAAAAAGTAAAAGTTTCGGAGCAAACATGCGTCAGCTTCATTGCTTTTTTTTTCACTGGTGCTTGCTTGCAGCGTCTCAGCGTCAACGGCGTTTGGTTTGACTTGACCACCACAACCACAAATGCTAGACGACCTTAATGTCCTATCACATTGCCCTGCGATCCAGTAAAATTAAAACAATTTGTCTCGATATACATTCAGATATATAAATATAGGAACAAAGTTTACTTACTTTGAACGTGCTTTGCATCAGGCAAAAGTCGAGCGATGTATTGTCCTTGTATCCCAGAGCGGTCCATGTACTCAATAAGTGGCACTGGGGGAGATATGAATAAGAGTGACTCATCCATTAAAATATCCCTTTGCGATTTAGTTTGGATACGTTCAAACCAACATTATATTATTCCTTGGTGAATTATATGCCTTCTTTTGGTCACTTATAATGCTCTATGCTTCAAAGTGCATAGTAACTGATCAAATAAAATCTCTTCATGTCATCGTATGAATCAAATTATTATGCTGTGAATTTATTTTTGCATTATACTATTCCTCAATGAGTTAAAGGCCTCTTTTTGGTCACTTATAATGCACTATACTTCAAAGTAACTGCTCAAATAATCTTGTCATGTAAGTGTTAAATACATCAACAATCAAATGAACAAATCTATAAGTTGCCTTTCCTTCATACATTGACAGAAACATCGGTGTTATTTAACAAATAAAGCATGAGCAATGTGGGGAGTATTAAAAGATTTCTTACATTATGTTGTGTGAAAACGTCTCACATGAACAGACTCATTTGGTGCAGTTAATCAACAGTTCTACTTGCCTAATCCTTGTTCTTCTGACACTCTCAATACAACAACATCTTGTAACTTTTTTCGAATGGCTTTGTAATCTCCATTTTTCCCCGGTGGTACCTCGGGTGTGTATCTAGTCATAACGTTGTTCACCTGCCCCGCACTGTGATGTGCAACTGTCATTGTAAACAGCCAGAAAGCCAAAACACCTATGACTGCCGATGTCTGCATACTTCTATAAACAATTATTTTAATTATTTTAAATGGAAAACTTATTTTAGTTTTTTTAGAAAAATAGTATGATTTCAAATAGGATTATGTGAGGTTGAAAAATGCGTCTTCATGATAATTGCCATATAAAAATGATATATGCAGTCAAATGTTTACAAGCACAACGAAGCTCAGTTTTTGCTCAAAATGAAATATAAAATAAGGCCATATGACTAATATTATCATTTACTAAAATGACTAAACTTGATGCGATACGGAGAAACAAGGTTGGGGATGGTAACAACATTGCATTAAATGGCCACCCTACACCCCATACAATGGAGCAAAGAGTTGGCAAAGAGCAAAACAATGGCTGGCAAAGAGTCATGTAGATACATGTAGATAGATAAATGACCCCTTAGCTCCACACTCATGAAATGGGTAATATAAAGTCCGGTTGAATTTCATAACTAACACAAAACTAAAACAATCGAATCCAGAGAGGTGGAAGTGGTGGACACAGGGTAGAAGAATATACATTTTACTACTCTGTGCTTGGTATCAAACAGTTAACAATGACAAGTGTAGTATAATATATATGGGGGACCGGGATGGTCAACTGCTAGATTTTGACTCGATTTTCTAGTTATACTGTTTTTGGGAGCTATAAAAGAGAAAGAAAATATCAGAAGTGACAATCTTGGGATGGAATAGTGTCTTAGAGAATATTACAAGGGTTATATTAAATATATACTATTGTGAAAGAAAGGATTTCTCTAGAACCTAAGAAAAGCAACTAATAAAAATACTCGTAAAATATTTGACAGTTTATCTTGTTGTCGTATTGCACTCGCCGGTACTTAAAGCTTTTTCGTTTGGTTCCCATTGGATTTCAAATTTTCATGAGGGCTAATACTGGAAGGGATATGACTAAAGGCAATACAGGTGACATACTACTACATCATTGAAAACAAGTGAACTGGCATTAAGCCATTTCTGAATAGATGGTATTACATCTGATGGCCTGTAGCAAACAATATAAATTTGTGAGTCATCTGCATAGAGCATTAGGTTAAATCCGTACTTAGAGTAGTTCACTTTACCTCTCGTATTTCTAAGGATGCAGAAAAACTAGAACAATTAGAAATCAGTAACTATTAGTACAGTCACGGGGGTAAAAGATGAGGTTAAAAGCCTTGGGGTAATGTTTGATAATAGGTGCCATATGGTTGCCGACATCAGTAAAAATGTAAAGCCGCTTTCTATGGTCTTAAAATAAATTCCAAACTATCCCATATCCTTGATAAAAGCCAAATGGAGAGGATTTTTTCCATGCCTTTATAACTGCACATCTTGACAACGGAAACAGTCTACTGTATGGTCTTCCTACCTACCAAATTGAAAAACTACAATCTGTCCAAAATGCTGCAGCACGACTACTAACCAAAACCCCTCTCAGATCAAACATTTCACCTATCTTATTCGAACTACACTGGCTTCCTGTACGACAGGGAATTGTTTTTAAATTACTGCTGTTTGTTTTTAAATTCACCAGAGGTGAATGCCCCTCATATTTTAACTCCATGCTACATCCAAGTACACCCAGTCTCACCAGGTCTACCAGATCCACCTCCACTCTTTGTTTTACCAGAAATGACAATAAAAAAAACAAACAATACCTACGGCCACAGGGCATTTTCAATTGCAGCACCCATTTATGGAATCAACTACCCTCACACATTCGGACTATTGATAGTGTTGAGGTTTATAAAAAAGACTTCTTATTTGCACAGTATTTTAATTAATATTTTCTCATTTTATCAGAAAAAAGTTTTATTGTTCATACCATTACTATTTTACCCAGCATTAATTATTTTAATCTTTTTTACCTTAGCTTTTATTATCTATATAATTAGTTGTAATTCTGATAATTCTATCTGTAAACAGCACTGAGACGGTAGTGTAGTGCGGTTTTAAGATATAATAATAATAATAATTATTTTTTTTTTTTTTAAAGAACCTTATCCATTTCATGTTGTTAATGGTGTTCCTGAATTAATATCTTTTTTATCATAACCCATGTCCCTTTACATAAAGCAAATAGAAACTTATCAACTTCATAAAGTTAATGGTGTTCCCACATAAATAATGTTTTTATTAAATATATTAAACATTGGAAGTTGAATTTCATGCGGGTGCATTTTAGGACAAATCCCAATGCTATACCAGTCAACTGCTAGCGTTGATGTACAGGTAGCTGTTGGAATTCAAATTTATGCTGTTAGAATTTCTGAGAAAATCGAGTGGCTTTAGAAAAGGGCACCATTTTGGAACTTCAATAGGTAACATCCACTTAAACTGGTCAAAACACCACCTTTCCTTTTTCTATTATATAAAGTGCATATATTTTATTATATAAAATTAAACTCTTCTGGAGCAAAACTCCCCTTTCTGTTGTTTTATTCACCTCATCCACGCTCTTCCCTTTCTGTATTTTTATTCACCACTCTCACGCGCTTCTCCTTCTGTAGTTTTATTCACTACTCTCACGGGCTTCGCTTTCTGTTGCTTCATTCACCACTCTTCATAACGATTGTGAAATCGGTATGAATATCAGTAAGACGCGGGAATGAAGCCGCACGCTCGGCTTTTCTTCAATTAATCTTCTTTGTTGAATGATGGATGATGGCGATCGGTTGGCACGTTAACTAAGTCAGAAGTGATCAGGTTACAGATTATATGTTGCATAAAAGTTTGCAACTCCGTTGCAAATTAATGTATTAAGGTTTTATTCTGTGCTGCTTCCCAGTAATCATTCCATAAGTATTTGTATAGATTTGTATAGTTGTGTACACATTTTAGTGCTCAATAAAGATTATAATTATTATTATTATTATTATTATTTCAACTCAAGCAACAAAACTGCGTTTGTTTTTAGACTGATTCTGATAGCAAATAAATCGCATCTATTTCGGCTGTCTGCACCAGCAGCATGTCACAAGCTTACTGAGTCCGTATGCGCAAGCATATCTCATTTAAGACTGACCGATATTTTTATACGAAATAGAATTGGCATGGTGTGAAATACAGCCTCATGCCTATGGATTGCACTGAACTTTTGTTAATGGCACAAGAGCCTCTTAAATTGATTCTCCGTCAAACGGAGATGTCCTTTCACGTCATCGCTGATAAAAATAGAAGTAAACTTTCCAAGAAAATTCTCTCGAACGGGATTGTAGTTCTTATTGTTGTGATTAAACATGCGTTAAAACAGTGTTGATAGCTGTTCAGCTGTAAACACAACTTTGCATGGTGCAAAATAAATATAAATATATTTATAAAGAATTACGTCAGACGCGCTTCTAATCGCTGTTGTGATTAGATATTGGCGTATTTGTGCTTTCTGTTAACAGGTTAACAGTTGTAAACTTTTTAAGATGGAGGAAGTAGAATGGCCATTTTAAAATGGTTGCTGAATACTTCGATTAATTGATAAATTCATTCAAATAGCTGGATGTAATAATAACACCGCAGAGGTGATTTGGAAGTAATGAAAACACGTTTAAGATAGAAACAAAAATGAAAAATTAAATCACACAATGGTGAAAATCAACAAAAAAGTATTTGGAAAAATGCATTCCAAATTCAATGCGAATTCGGTATGAATATCAGTGAGACGCAGTGTTGAAATCGAACAAGACCTTCTGTACGTGAGTGGCTGATGTCATCTACGCGAAGGAAAAGGTGCCAAAAGCAACCGTTAACAAACGCTTGTCCGTTGCACAGGCGTCTAGCATTGCCACGTCCAGTAGCATTCTGTCCCGAACTTCCTACGCATTGAAAATGTTCTGATGGAAATTCATCTGTGTAGTCGTAAAATATGATTCAAGTATTAAACTTATCAGTTTCTACACTAAAACGGATGAAATCGAAATCTCTGTCAGGTATAACTCTATTTCTAGTGTAGAATTGGTAATTTTAATACTTAAATCGTATTGAAAATGTATCAATTATTAAAACATGTACGCTAATTTTCTTTGCAGACTACCGTCCAGGTGTGACAGTGATGATAGCCGGCTAGGAAACGTAGTCCGTTTTCCGTGACTTTAATCTTAACTTTTACTAATCGTAAAGGGATCCACGGATTTCTATTTCTTGGCCTATAGCTACGGCACACCAGTAACCTTTGAGAAGACTAATGCCACTTACCAGATTATGCTCCCTTTCCTTTGAACAGTGTCGTGCCGTGACAACGTTCTGGTATATTTTCAACTAACGTTAAAATATGATATATGTTCACATCACGTTTGCCGCCCATATCAGACCCGTAGCTTGACAGCCTATGGAGCATATTAGGGGCAGGTCATGAGTTCCAAATAGGTCTAATTGATTATAAAGGCCATGGTGATTGGCAGTGGATACAGCCAGTGTTCACGGAATATGAATACATTTCCTGGAAATACATTTCATTCCCATATCAAACCCGTAGCTAAGCCGCCTTTGGGACATATTTGGGGCAGGCCATTAAGTCAGAATGTAACTAAAACTACAGGTTCAGGCAGAACTGATGATTGGCAAAACAAACAGTTTGCTTATTATAAATAATCATAATGTTTGGATTATGAATTCATTTCATGTCATATCACAAACACATATACCTTAGAACGTCTTAGACGTGTGAGATAAATTAATGTCACGAGCATTATATGCCAGAACGAGGTGTTCGAAGCATATATTGCGAGAGGCTGGCAGTTAATTATTTGATGTACATACCGAGAGAAGGTACTTGCATTTTACCAAAAATGCTCTTTTGGCAGACGGTATACGATTTAAACATCACTTTATATGAATATATGATATGTTACTTAATATCGAAATGAAAGATCAGTCCCGTTCTCAAAGATCATTGTAACCATTGGGAAATTTCTTTAAAAATTTGTTTGGAGTATCAAGTGAGTCAGATGTAGATGATCTACGTAAATATGTTAAGCTGTTTATAAAAACAAACGAAAAAAAGTTTGAAGT